GGGAAAAAAAAAAAAAAAAAAAAAAACAAGCTACCAGGTGCGGGAGCCGGGACCATAGCTCTTAGGGTGCGAGTTCCAGACGTTAGAGTGCCCCATGCTTGGATTGCCTAAGAGATTGAAATCTTAAGAGCTCGTTAAGCCTTCGAAAATCCTCGCAAGCGGCAAATGCTTTCTGAAGAACCAGAGGATGAAGAAGAAGCGAGTATTTATAGGGGAGACATTGAGAAGAAACCCTAGCTGACGTGTACGGAAAATATAATCTATATTATAATTTATGCATTGTTTTCTTGCTTTTATTTATAATATATTTGTTTTTCAATTTTTAATATTCGATTTTTTTAACAAATTTGTTGAATATTTGATCCATTAATTCAAAATATAATATTTTAACCAATTACTTATTTAAAATTTACATAAAATAAGTTTAAATATTTAAATTTTCACTCCACATATTTAAAAAAAAAAAAAATTTACTTAATTGAATTTCATAAGGCTTATCTCATTGAATATTCTAATTACATCCTTATTTATTTACATTTTAATTCTTTCATGTGGCAATTTTAAAATTAATTTGATTTGTTATTATTTTCAATAAATATATTTTTTTAAAATGTTGAATCTTATTTATAATATTGAAATTTAAATTTTTAAAAATTATATTCATCTACCAAGTATTATATTTTTAATTATGAAATATTATTGAATATATTAAGATGTTTTATATTCTTAATATAAATTACATTAAAAATAGAAATTATTTACATTAAAAATCAAATCTAATATGGGACTTTTTATAAATATTATTATATTTATATTATAATACCTAATTTTGTGACGCTGTTGTAATATTAAAATTTTAAAATTTAAAAATTGTGTCGGTAGAATATTATATTATATTATATTTTTAATTATAAAATATCATTAAAATTTTCAAGATAGTTTTACATTATGCAATAAAAATTATATTCTAAAATGAAGATTATGCATTAAAAATGTTTCTTCGAGAGAATCAAAAGTTTAGAAAAAGACCGGAGAGCTTGATTTCTGCAAATTCTTTATAGAAAGAAATCTTCGTCTCAATGTCTCAATCCTACATTAAATGGGAAACTTGACGAGCATGGAGGATAAAACTCAATACCGTTGAAAAGAGACGATGGATAAAGTAGGATTAGAAGAGACCGAAAATATTTAAGAATCCAAAAAAACAAATTATCTAAACTTCGACTACACAATAATTAATTATGTATTGCATAATCCTCCTAAATATAAACCCAAGGTATACCAGCCGACTACACAATAATTAATTATGTATTGCATAATCCTCCTAAATATAAACCCAAGGTATACCCCAGCCGACTACACAATAATTAATTATGTATTGCATAATCCTCCTAAATATAAACCCAAGGTATACCAGCCCCGACTACACAATAATTAATTATGTATTGCATAATCCTCCTAAATATAAACCCAAGGTATACCAGCCAACTTATTCGAGGACGTTAGCTCAAGATTATAAAATGAGATACGAGTTTATTTTGTTCATTAATCCCACAAATGGACTATGATCTATGATCTATAATTTATTTTATGAAATTAATGGCTCTTATTTGTTAATTTCAGCTGGTAGAATTTAATCATTAATATTCTATACTAATCTTGATATTATAATTAAACAGGGTGTTTGAAATTGTTGTTAAATTTCTTGTTTAATTTGAGATGAATTTGAACTATTACATGGAAAAAGAAATAGCAAAGTTGGGCGACTATAGAACTAATTCTCCTTCGTTCTCGTTCTCGTTCTCGTTCTCGTTCTCGTTCTCGTTCTCGTTCTCGTTCTCGCCGAGAATTGAAGCTAATACATTCTTTATTGTGGTTCCTATATTTTTCAACACACGCAATGCAATTGAACCTATTACCGTCCAAGCCACGTTGTTTTGAGACTAACGACGAGCTCGGGAGGTTCAGCATCCAAAGTCATATGGTACAAGTCCTTGCAACTCGGGGCCACTTAGCCTGTTGTTTTCATAACTGCAGCAAAGAAAGCATGTACAGTTAATAATTCAATTGAATATGTACTCTGGGATTCCAGGTTGGATTGGTCATGGTGACAAGCAAGAAAAATATTAGAGCGGCACTCAAGAACGAAAACCAATCATTTCACAAGATGATCGCGAAGAACGACTAATGATGTATGAAATATGGACACTTTTAACAAGAGTAGTATCAGAGCCAAACACCGCAGTGAGAACGTTGAGCCCCAAAAGGGGATGGACACCGGGCGATGTGCCAGCGAAAATGCTGGGCCCCGAGTGGGGTGGAATGTGAGATCCCACATCAATAGAAGAGAGGAACGAGTGCCAACAAGACTGTTGGGCCCCAAAGCGATTGTGAGATCCCACATCGATTGAAGAGGGGAACGAAGCATTCTTTATAAGGGTGTGGAAACCTCTCCCTAGCAGACGCATTTTAAAAACCTTGAGGGGAAGCACGGAAGGGAAAGCCCAAAGAGGACAATAACGGCTAACCTAACGGTTAGCTTAGACGGTTACATTTCAGATACTCCAACAGCCCATCACTAGTAGAACATTTGTCAACTACTTGTGCGTTGGCACAATAGACATGAGTTGGATACTAGTTAAACAAACGAAAGCATCCAATAATCGTTGAGCAAAATAAGTTGCCATGAATAGTACTCTAAGACAAAAATAATAAATTTTTGGAGTAATATACATCAATACTTGTTTATCAAGTATATGAAGATGAACTTATTAGCTTTAAACTTTCTTTTTGAAAACTGTACATTTTAGTCTAAATGTACTTTTGTAAGCGTGTCATATAGTTTTAGCAAGAATGCGTAACCGAGTTTGAGTCACTGCTTTCGTTTCGACCCACGATTGTTCAGTCATATTGAAATTCTATGAACGTATGCCAGATAAGAACTCACCATTCTAACATATGGTTTCATGAAATGTGTCCAGCAGAGAGAACAAAGATCTAAAGAAATTGTTTACCTTTCCATTGAGAAAGTAGAAAATGGGCCATCAACTGGAATTGTTCCACAGAGCTCATTGGTTGAGACATCACTGCAGAAAAAAGTTGAAGATAGCGTTACTAAAATGAATAACGGGCGAGCGAGAGGGCGAGACTAGAGAACAAAGCAATTGTTTCTAAACCAAACATACAAAATTTTGAGTTTAGAGAGTGATGCGAGTTCCCTCGGGATCGATCCTGTCAACTTGTTGTTGTTCATCCGTCTGTTTATACAAATCAAACCAAATGAGATACAATTGGAGCAAAACTATTCAGTGACAATAGAAAGTTGCTTACAGAAATCTAAGCGACTTGAGTTTGGCAAAAGATTTCGGGATATTTCCTTCGAATTTGTTCTCATACAAATCCATGCTTACAAGGTTTTTTAAATTACCGAGCTCTGTAGGGATTTCGCCCGTAATCCCATTCCTGTAGAGCTCCCTACAGGGCATCGTAAAACACGAGAAAGGTCAGTAATGCTTACTGAATATAGCTAAGCCATCACCTTGGCATAAAGAAGCTAAACTCTCAAGCTAGTTAACCTAATTTCCTTCGTGGACCAGGAAACAAATGGAAGAACAAATTCTTTGTGGTTAAAAAAGAGAGATCTTTTTAGACATTAATTAAAGTGAATCCATAAGTACAAAAACTGTCAAAAAAACATACTTTTTTCTATGAAAAATTCTCAGAAAAACAACCCCATAACCTACAGCTCTAACTATGCAATCCATCGTGTTCAAGAAATTAAAAAATGTTCATAATCCACACTGCAGAACACAAATACATAAAAAAAAGATCTAAATAATTCTCAAAATGATGAAGAGGGTGAGCAGTACAGATATTGAAGATGCCGGAGCTCGCCAAGTTCAGGCCCCAAAGTTCCAGAAATGTTTGAATTTCCCAAATCCCTGAAAACACAGAGAGAAAAGAACATGAATAAAGAACCCAAATAAAAACAGAGAGAAAAAAAACACAAGGGTAGAATCTCACAAGCGGATCACATGGCTATCAGAATCACAGGTAACATGAAACCAAGTGCAAGGATTAACCAGAGTAGGGTCCCAACTCTGCAGCACATTGGTGGGATCAGACAGCCTTCTCCTCAGAGCATGCAAAGCATTTCCTAAAACCAGAAGAACAACCCAAAAGCATGAAATAAAAAAGAAAACAAAATTTCAAGAAAAGTTATCAGAGGCAAAACATCAAACAGCTCATGGGCATTGAATTGCATTCACAGATTTAGTAGAAATTACAGGCGAACAACCCAAAAACATGAACAAGAAACTCAAAACCAACTTTTAGAAATCAAAAAGAAAATAAAATTATCATAGGCAAAACATCAAACAGCTCATGGGCATTCAATTGAATTCACAGTTACCTTCCGAATTAGTAGAAATTACAGGCGAGAAAGAGAAACCCAGAAGGAGAAAGAGAAGAGGGAGAGGGGGGGAAGCCATTGGAGAAGAAAACAGAGAAATTGAAGCAAACCCCAGAAGAGAAATGGAGGTAAAAGCGAAGAAAAAGAAAAGATGAGTAGAAAACAGTGGGATTGAGGAAGAATTTGACTGAGAGAGAAGGATGGGTCAAGTGGAGAGAAGAGAAAAGAGGGGAAAATATAGAAATCAGAGAGAGAAACTTTTTGACAGAGGTGAAGAGAAGAGAAGAGAAGAGAAAAGGCATAGTTAGTGAATTGGGTTGGTGGGTTGATGAGGGGACAGGTTGGACGCGTGAAATGTGGCGGTGGGGCCGGCGCCGGTTGGGGTCCACCACCGTTTTCATAAGAGGTTTCTTCCTTCCGGGCTGTGGCTTTGGGGAACCGGTGGACAGAAAACGCAGGGAAGGAGAGGGTTTTGACAGTCATCCTTTTGTGCTGAATGCCTTCCATTGTACCCTACCATCACTACTTACCTTCTCATTTTTCCTTCTAAGGGAAAAGTTATTATTAGTTTTTATTTTAATTTTTTTTTAGAATCTTTCGAATCTTCATGGGTAAAAAAAGATTTTCTTTTTTAAATCGTCTAAATTAAATTATATTAGATTAGAGCGTCTGGCGGTTAACCTAAAGGTTGGAAGTTCAAACCCTCCTTCTAACATTTATCATTGTTATTTTTTATTTTTGTCCGTTTAAAGAAACTTTTTTTATTATTTTTTTTTGTAATTTTACTAAG